AGTAGAAGACATAGTCGCAGATCAAGAATGTCGTACCTCGAATAAGTAGACCGTCTGTGCAAAAACAGAAATAAGAATATACGCCAATCCAGAAATCTTGCAAGAATCAGGGAATTTCCTCTACCTTCTTCTTCTTAGTGCCTTATAGCTTAGGGGAGCCTCTAACCAGGATTGCCTATATCCTGGTTAGACGCTCTCCTACGCTAAAAGAAGGTAGAGGAAATTAAAAAAAAAACAAAAAAAATAGCCTGTGAGAAATCGATCGCCTGGCATCAATGGTATTAATTAATTACCTTGCCTGTTTAATAGTTGGAGATATGAAGTAATTAGGTGATCAATTTATTATTATTTCTTCCCCTCTCGCCCTGATGCATGGGGGCCCATACATTGACATAAATGTAGAAATACTTATAGTGTTTATTTAAGTTCCTATTTTAACCTTTCACATTCATCATGTTATTAATAAGAGTTCTATCCGTTATTCATCAGACCAATCAGTAAGATATTACCTTTTATCGAAGAAGCTAAAATGAAAATAAGTTGAAATTAGCTTTGCTTTTAGGAATATTATTTCCTATCAGACTAACATTTTCTAGCGTTGGTTTTTAGAAACTGGTTCATTAAAATAATTGTATTGAAACGAATATTCAGTATAATTAATTAATATGATTTTTTTTTTTTAATTTAAGAAAATGTCTCCTTAAATAAAACGGAATAAAATAATGCTTATTTAGCATGAGGTTATTCCCACCCAAAAAATATATCTACGTGCTAACGACTTTCGAAATTTTTGTTTAAAAATTTGTCATTTGTTTTTACGAAAGTGCTGCGTATTAAGATGGAATATCCTATATCTTTCACTTCGTGTTTTTATGTAGATCTTTTCAATTGTCTCAGACAATTATTAAAATATATTAAATTATCATTTCGTTTAAATGTTATATCATTCAAATATAATTTAGTAAATATATCTATGAATAAGGCAATGTCTGACAGCTTTATATTAATGCAGCAGAAATGCATAAGCTGGGGTGTCCAGAGGAGGCGTAGTTGTACGGAATTTGAATTTTTTGAGGGGGGACGGTATATTTTGATGTGATTATGAATTTTCGTATGGAACTGTATTTTTTTATGTTTCTATTCGAAGGAACTTTCAAACCAGGAAAGAAGTGGAAAAACAGAAAAGATCACAGAAAGTGTAATGATATATGATTTAAAATTTTTATAATGATGTAGAGATTGGCCGTTGATGGAGAGGTTGACCGTGATATGATATGAGAAGGAGTTGATCGGGGGGTGCGGTCAAATAAATACTAAATTATACAAATGGTATTATTTAATTTTTGCCGAAGTTTCGACCTACTTTGCAGGTCTTCATTAGGGCTACAAAAGATACGAAACATGGTGAAAATAAAATAAATGAATATAAGTATATATAAAATAAGAAGAAGCAGTCTAATAAAGAAATAAAAAGATGATATCAGAGATATAGTGGGTGACAATGTAGTTAAAAAATCAAGCATATATATAGAAGATATAAACAAAAATGGAAAATAAGTATGAATAAAAATAGAAAACAAACGAGAATATATCATGTAAGTTAAAAGTAAACAGATTGCGATAAAAGATAAGGAATGAGTGTATAACAAACTAATAAAGATTACATTTGGTAACTGTAGGTTAACAGATAAAGAAAATGAATGTTAGCGAATAAAGAGATTAGAAATTGAATAACTATTGATATCGTAAAATAGCCCTGATGAAGACCTGCAAAGTAGGTCGAAACGTCGGCAAAAATTAAAAAATACTATTTGTATAATTTAGTATTTATTTGACCGCACCTCTCCCCCCCCCTCCTCCCTCCGATCAACTCCTTCTCATATTATATCACGGTCAACCATCTCTACATTATTATAAAATTAATACTAGTTTTTGTCCACTCTGTCGCTACCATAGTTGCACTAAGGACCGAGCTTTAAGCTGAGGTCACTTCTACTAAACACTTAGTTTCATTTGACTAGTCCAGTCAGAGGTCTAGCTTGCAAAAGGTCGATTCAAATTTCTTTTTTATATTGTTAGTTCTCATAACAGATTGAGACGACAAGAAACCTCTCGACGTTTCCGATTACTTCAGCACTTACTAGACAAACGCTCTAAACTTCCAATTAATTACAAAAGACTCATATACATGACTATAATAAGGACTGTTTGGACTTTGGGGCTCCACTAAACCATCCAATTCCTGAGTTGAGTGTTTCAACTGTCTCCCGCAGTGCTACATCCTACGCCCTGAAGAAGACCTGCAAAGTGGGTCGAAACGTCGGCAAAAATTAAATAATACTATTTGCATAATTTAGTATTTATTTGACCGCACCCTCCGATCAACTCCTTCTCATACAATTTTTATACTTGTACTTTCGCTTGCACTATTTTAAAAGAAGACGAGAGCTATAAAATTTCTTAAGAGGGAGAGAAGGATACCCCATTGGACTGAGAGTAGATGGACATCCTCTAGTCAGTTCTGCTAATATATATTTGTAGGTTTGGTTCTATTCCTCAATCTAGTAAACCTATGTTGACCATGAAGATAAATAAGCATAGAGTACCCGAAGTGAATTAAAAAATAAAATGAAATAAATGATTAGATAGAATGGTGGGTTTATACGAGTAGCCGAAGAAGACGATTAGTTAGCGAGGAAGGAAGGAGCTTGGTGGGGGCCGGCCAGGAACTGAACCGGTCCTGCTCTTCTGGTAGGAACTGGTTTTTTTTACAACTAGCTATATTATAGCCAGTCAGTCAGTGCAAATACTTGAATCTCCTTGGCAATGAACTTGATACTGACCCTAAGTCGTACCAGTTCTTTTTTTATATGCATATATTTATTTATCCTGATACTAATAAAAGTTTCATATGTAGAAGGACGCGGTAATGGACTGGTGGAGTTCGATGTGTTAATCAGATTTCATTTTTCTAATCAAATCATTTTTGTTATGTTTTACTACGAACTATTTATGATAATAGCATTATTTAGTTTTGTTTAGAATTATGTTACAAATTTTAATAAAATGCTTAGCTTACTCTGTTTATATTTTAATGTGCTTACTGTTTATAATTTTAATAAGCTTATTCACTCTGTTTATAATTTTTGTCTAAATATTATGTAACCTCCACAATTCTCTATATTTTTGTATCTTGTCCGTTCTAGCCCTGAAGAAGACCTCCGGTCGAAACGTTGGCTTTTAATAAAATAGTTTTACCACTATTTAGCCTATTTATGACCGCCACCACCGACCATCTCCTTCCTTTTTAATAAAATTCAGTTTTATTAGGGCCAATTACTATTTAATCGAATAATGTAATCTAAAATGTTTGTTGATAAAATTTGTTTATTTTTTCCTATAATGCAGAGTTGTAGAACAAATATGTATTCATAAATTTAAATATAATTTAATTAAATTTTAAGTAATTTAACTAACATAGCAAAAAGCTATAAATAGGTGTACATAGACCCATTTTTAATTAAAGATATAAAATAAAATTTCTTTCTCATAAAGCAATAAAATCTTATAAGTTATTAATTTTAGATGGAAGAAGAGTAATTGAGCTAACTAACGATTGTATTAACGTTGAATTTAGAGGAAATCCTGATGAGTTATGATTATGCTAGTTGCCGCCTGGGGAAAAAAATCCTACAAGAAAATCAGATACTGAAATTTATATTTTTTTATTTATTTTAAAAATTCATATTTAAGAGTTTTAAAGGACATTAAAAACGAACATAGCTTCTTTTTCATTACAAAAATTTATTTGGCCTACTTTACTGTAATCTTACTATAATATAAAGTAAGATTCGTTGTAAATCATTTAATAATATTGGGATTATTTTGTGTTACTCTGCACGCACACACACGTACAAAATAGTTCTATTATTATATAATAACCTAGAAATCCAGACTAAGCATAAGGAATAATAATATAAAAAATTATCTTGGGTCTTAAGTCCCACTGAAAGTAAGCGGGATATGTATCTAATAAATTAAAAAAAAAATGTGGTTGAAGTCAGTGATCAACTGGCTATTACCTTCTAATGTTAGTAGAACTACTTCAAATTGTAGTTAAATTTAGAAGAAAAAAAAAATCCAAAAATTAATAAAAATTTGGACTTTGTGTCCCTTCTAAGATATTTCAATTTTACAATACACAATTTAGAATACTTTTAGCTATGTTTAAAAAGCTCTTACTAAATAGCATGTAAAGTTACATAGATGAAACTTTAATTACTCATTGCAACACAATATGATAATATTTTTTAAAAAAACTTTGTAAGATTTTTAAGTGTAAGATATTTGAGATTTAAAACACTTCATATTCAGAAAGAATCGTCATATTTGAATACCTTATCTGAAACATTGTAAGGAAGTAGAAGCTCTTCAAAGATTTATCGGTCATTTGTGCAAGTTCTAAGATATATCTAAGTACAACAATAAGATCAAGTCTTTCTTATATCAGAAAATAGGCTTCCGGCGGAAGGATTTAAGTAGACGCAAAGTAAAATTTCGTCCCGAAAGCCTATTACTCGACTTTTGTTATTATTTCAGTGTAGTGAACATTTTATCTTTTTGTATCAACTCATAAGTTCGGGATTCTTTAAAAACTTTACTTTAAATAAAAAATATACTTAATGGGGTTTCGCTAAAAAACGGATTTTTGAAATTTTCTTAGTGTATATTAATTTTGTTCAAAAATTTTAACTAAGCGTTTTAGGAAGTAAATAAATGAAAAGATTCAAAGTTTACAAATAAATGATAATTGGATAACGGAACTACTTGTTTTTGTTGAAACAATATTGGTTTGTTTTCTTTATAAGCTATATTTATTTATCTTATATTGTTTTTTACTTAATCGTTTGATAAAATTTTTTTTTCAAGTATCGATAGATACCAGTTTATTTAGAGGCATTCAAATGTTATAGTTGAGCTTAAAAGTTAGTGAGTTTCACCTTTGGTCTTCTGGTTGGTCGCCAACGAGCCATGACCTCCTTCCCCGAGTGCCCTCTTCTGGATCTCTTCTTTGTTCTTGTCTTTCCTTAATTTCTTTACCATTTCTCCGCCGTGTTCCTCTTTTACTCGGACGTATTTTCATTCATATTAAAAACTGGGTTGTACTTTTCTTTAAATATCAAACAAAAAAGAAAATATCGGTGTTATTCATTGAATAATGCGTGTTTGGTGCTTCTACAAACAAAAACGGACAACTTCATCATTTTTCTACGTTTATTTACCGAAAAATGTATAATCTACATTGCAACACAAATAAATTCTAAGAAGTCAGGCCGAATAATCATAAATTTATTCTATAAGTGACAAATCTCTGTTAAGAAAGCCTCATGTCCACCCACATCAATTAACAATAACCCAGTGCCTTCAAAAAATTATGTACGGTACCTCGGACTCTACTTAGATAGTGTCTTGAAGATATAACCAACTTGCCCATTTTCTAAACTACAGATCCTCACTTAACTCACGAAACACGCGACTGATCGACAACACCGTACTGAGATCTATTTGGACATAATAAATATTTTGTTACTTGAATGGTTTGTTATCTGTAAGCTTTAAGTTTTAGCTCCGTTTAAAATGCTTCGAAAATTTTATAACAGCCCAACATTGCCAGAAAATAATTTCTATTCAAAGTAGAGCGGTAAGTGAAAGTTGTGTGTTGCCGCGCACCAGATTTTTTTTGGTATGGATCAGTAAAGTGGTCTTCATCAGAATATTTGTGGGTGTTGAAAAAAGGTCTGCCTTGACAAATATTTTGTTCCAAAAACTTTAATTTTCTTTTATCTCAGCATTGGAAAAAATAGAGTATTATGAATCGTGAAATCATGGAGCTCAATGCAAATTAAATACGAATTTCCCGATTTGTTCCCAGGAAGATTCCTTTTTTTACAAGAAACTGCCTCTTTTATCCGTTATCATGATATCTGTATTGAACATTTTGCTATACTTTCATCTGTTTGTATGAGGGTTTTCGCGGCAATGATTCAGTAAGAAAAATGTTACATTGAAAAAGAGTGAATTGCAGGAAGTTGATAGAAAAAATACTGTCTCAAGATGATTTAAGGATCTCTCCGAAAGCGACAATTCTTCATGATGGTCAGTGATTGTTATAGTGTTGTTCCGTACAGAAAGTGGAGGAAAAATGACAAAGATGAACGCGGGAAAAATAAAAACGGGGAACTGTTCAATTCTTTGGTAAAATCCTGTTTGAGCCATCCACTTTTCTTCTGACTCGCAGTTCGGACATTGGTAATAGAAAAAGTGACTTGGTAGGTCCCCCTTGCCTAATCGCTGTAGGAAAGGAAAAGTCATATTATATGTAATGTTACAAATGGATATATTTTTGTGATACGTTTTATGTGGAATGTCCAATGCGTGACCAAGATTGTCGGAGACCAAGTCAGTTTAACAGTGGGAAACCGAAAATAGCATTAGTTCACGCTTTGGGCTTTCACAGCAGTTGACATTTTAATGAATCCCTATAATTTGTATCCTTAGAAAATGTTCTTTTTACTAGCAAATTCAAGGAAAATAGGGTTTTCGAGCTGAAGCCTCCCACTGCTAAAAAAACCCAACAGAAAACAAAATGAAATAGTAAAATAATATTTTTTGGCCAATTGGTTCATATTTGCTTCTATTTTATAGCTCTCCCACAATCGGATACTGATCTTTCAGCGAAGTGAAAGAATGAGGAAGTGCCAAATATTTTTTTTATTTTTAATTTATTCAATACTTCATGTTCATATTACAGAATACCACGGCGAAGATTAAAAAAAAAAAAACTTACCTAACTAAAAACTCTCTACCATTCATTTCAAGGGGACAGATTCAAATTAAAATAAAAAAGATCTTTTAACACAAATATGTTCAAGGTTATGTAAAATTTAGTGACAACCTCCAAAAACGATTTAATTAATTAAAACATTCTTCTAATTAATAAATCACCCGTGCCCTCCAAGTACACAACAGAAACTATATACCGGTTAGAAATCTTTTTGAAGAGTTTGAAAATTAGCGATGTAAGTAAATCTGAGCTTTTTGTATTCCGGATTTCGCTTGCTTGTTTTTCTTGGTGTTTTTTTCTCAAGTGTTTCTGTTTTTCGCAATCACTTAAAACTTAAAAGTTTCCCTCTGTGATATTATAAAATTAACCGATAGCCCCACTGACCCTGCACGGCCAATCCATTAATTGAAATTATTAACATTAATGTTTACATTTAATTAATAAAGTAGTTAGAACAAATATTTATTTTATATAATACATCCTAAACAAAGCGTTTGCGGACATACCTTCAGAGGAAATTTTTTCTTGTTTTGAGATCCTTAGTTGATTTTTGCAGTTTGGCCACTTAACCCTGGAACACTCTGTATTATAAGGTTAGTTTAATTTTATCGATAAATAAGGCCAAAAGTTAAAAAAAAAGTTTAGTTCCATTAAAAATATGTAATGACTTTTTACAATAACCTAACGATATGAGTTGTTTACTTTAAAAGTAAATTGCAACTGCATTTTCTAATATATGAAGATATTTAAGCGTTTCTATTCGAATGATTTAAAAAACATTAGTAGATCTTAATTCACTCATTTTGTTTTTAAATAATAAATCGATTAATGATTATAATGTGATGATCGAAATGAAATATTGAAATCCGATATCGTCATTTTTTTCGCTATCATCGCAACATTACTAAACACAACTGAATTGCCAAATCATTGCTAGAGAGTTCGTGTTTTGTGTTACGGTTCCTTAATTCTTCTATGTTCCTTGATAAAAATAGATTAAATGCGTTATTTATTCACCTTTTCTATTTTTCATGAGAGAGAGATCGCCTTAGCTGTATGATATTTTGAAATGTTTTTCTACATGAACCTCTGGATCTAGCGTTCTAAACTGAATCTCTTGGTTAGTTCGGACTTTAGGTGACTTACAAATATGTAGTAATACAACCAGATCGCCATGATAAATTACTTTCTTTTTCCCCGATCCTTAAGAGTAGATTACATGCTTTCTAAAGTATGTGATTGAATATTGCCAAATGCCACAGAAATAAAATTATAATTTTTTAGTTGTGATGCAGTTTTCTGCCTATTCCACAAAAAATATCTGGTGTGTTCGACCACACTATTTTGTTTGTCGTTTTTGTCGTCTAAAGAAAAAATGTATAGGTTTCCATGGGAACTTGCGCAAAATATTTTATGAATCCAAGTCTTGATTCTTGGCTGATACTGTTTATTAATTTTCATAAAGCGTTGATCCGTTAAAAATTACCCATTTAAAATTTGATTTGATCAAATTACTTTCCCGATCTAGTAGCGGGAGGAAAGTAAAAAAATTAAGTTGGCAACAAATAATAATATGAGTTTTGAAATTCACTTGGATGCAGCTAGTGTAGCAGCGCAGGTGTGTGATAGGTAAGAAATATCTCCGGAAATACATCGGCGAGTGTTCGGTTCCCACAATGTTGGAGAGAATGTACAATGGAGTAGGATTGTATGTTACCGCTGGTGAAACACATGGCGTTTCCATTATTTCATTATTCTTAGCTCTGTTATTTGCTTTTCTTTTTCTCATTTTTCTTTATTATTTTTTCAAAGAAATGATTTAATCAACTGTAAAATAGAGTTCAATATCTTTTGGTCAATGTTGATGTTTAAAAATGTTTTAACTATTGGAAAAAAAGAATTGATTTATTATAAACTTTCGAAAATTTATATATTATTGTTGAAAAATTGATCGTTAATTTTCCTTACAGGTCACACAACACGGTGACGTATTGAATAGTTTATGTTATAATAATTAACTAGACCAATTTATCAATATTTTTTTCTTCCCCCATTTATAGTTTTTGACTACTGAAACCTAATAATAATTTATTTTTTGAGATATAATAGTAATACTTAATTTACTTGTTAAAGAAAATTTCTTGTACAAATAATACAATGAATAATTATTAAATTTCATTCATTAACACAAGAGTCTGGGACACTTATACATATACACAGCACAAATGTAATATATATACATATAGAAATGAATAAATACTTATGAGATACATATTAAAATATGTTTTATAAGATTCACAATTTAAGCTGATTGACTTACACATTGGCATTTAAAATCATATATTTTATTAAGTCTATCATATTTTTTTTTATATCATGAATCTCCTGCATGTTTATATTATATTATAATGCCTCCGATGTTTTTCTCTATATTCCTTAAACTTTGTGCAGTAGAGTAGGATATGGAAATGGTTGTTGGAGATGAATTGGTACTGTTATTGAAGAGTACAATCGTTTTAAGCGATAAAGATTTATTATCCGTTTGAAGTTGGATGTTTTATTGGCTATTGATTCTTGATAAGCTGTCATATCGTCTTTTTTTTTTTTCAAGTTGGCTCTGTATAAAACATAATTTTTGGAGGCAGCATATTAACATTTGATGTTAACCTATAGCTTGGGGCCTCCAAATCTTTTGGCCCGCGGGCCGCATGGAGACCTCTACCCAAATCCCACAGGCCATGGGTTGTTATAAGAAAAAAAATCTTCTTCTTTAAATGACATTTAGTTGTGAAATGAGGAGCTTTTGAGAGAAAAAAAACATGCAATGATTTTGTAGTGACCTCATGTGTGAGTAATTTACTGAAGTTCACATTTTAAAATTTTACCCTGTAATCAAAGATACTTTCTTGGGTCGGTTTGAAGGTGCTTGCGGCCGTAGTTTGGATATTCCTGAACTATAGTATTAAATGAAGTGAAAATGAAAATATTTTTTTATTATTCTGGGGCTATTGTCCCTTCAGAATAAATTATAAGTACAAGATAAATGCCAGTGTGGCCTTACATATGTTAGTAATGATGTCTGTTGGAATTAAAAGTGCTACTAATGTGCAGGGAAAGGCCATGGTTTCTCATTTGTTCCAATATGTCTCATGATTCAATTTGTCCAATATTTTATATGATTTAATTTGTTCGGAGATAAACATGTGTAATGAGCTGAACTGATTTTTAAGATGTAAAAAAGTGAAAACAATAAAAAATCGTCAAGACATTTACGTCCTCGATTCTCAGTCCTCATTATT